CTGCCTTTTCCAATCATGTTCTGCATATTTTCCTGTTTTGACAAAGAACAGTGGTCCTTCAGCCAAATGCAGTTATATCATCCCGTCAGACGAGCATGTGTAAAAATCTGCTTTCAATTAATACACAATGATTTATTCTTTAAGAGCTCTGCATGAGAACAGTGAGGGGGATTAGAAAAATAAATCACTGCTCAAAGTTTGAGTTATTGCTGTTTGATGTATTTTGTTGGCGTTGATCTACAAAGCAAGACTCTCTCATGCCTGTGAGCTCTGCCCGGACTTAAAAGGCTTCTTCAGAGATGCAGATTCTCCGTATTAATTGTTTTACACTTAATGAACTTTTATGAGGGTCTGTAAAAATTTCAAAAGGAACTTAAGATCTTGAGTTCAAGTACTTGCTTAATAGGTTATTTCAACCACAAACAGGGTCCATGTACAAAAGGGAAGCGGGAGGAGTCACATGGGTAAATATGCAACTAATTAAAATGTGAATATTCAGTAATGAGTGGATAGTGTTTGTCACATGTGTGAGTTAGGAATCACAGGATAGAAAAATCTTGTAGGCTGAACCTACAAAAGCCCTTCTGATTTTGTCAGATATGTATTTTTACATGAGCAGAAAAGACAGTGGAGCAAAATATGAAGCACTCAAACAATATTTAATGGCTCTGCAGAGTGCCCAAGGCCAGTTTGAATTTAATAATGTGGGTTCACTTGATATATTTTGAAAAGGCCTATTGATTTATTCCACCTGGGCTGAAAAATGCATTCCACTTCTGAGCGGCTATGCAAGAGCAATCTAATTGAAATCGTACGGTGGCCAAAAGTGTTAAATCGCATGGATGGACAGAACAAGATAGGTGGAAGAGAAGAGCTTAAAGGGGTCATATGATGTGATTTAAATTTTTCCTTTCTCTTTGGAGTGTTACAAGCTCTTGGTGCATAAAGAAGATCTGTAAAGTTGCAAAGACTAAAGTCTCAAATCCAAAGAGATATTCTTTATAAAATTTAAGACTTGTCCACGCCCTCCTAAAACGCCTCGTTTAAACATGCCCCCACATGTCTACATCACTGTGTGGGAAGATTTGCATAACCGCCCAAATTTTCACGCAAAGAAAGAAGGCGTAACTTTTATTCTCGCTGTAGTATTGTTGCCGCCGCCGCCATGTCGTGAAGGCGCTGTTTGGACGAAGCGGAGTCTAGCCCGGGGTCGTCACATGTGGTTGCGGCAAGCCTGCCGGCCTCCGCTCACTCAAGCCACTGTGTGTTTCGTTGTGAAAGCGAAACTACTTTGTTTGGCCTTCCAAAAGAGGACACAACTAGAAATCAGTGGTTAAGTTGTATTTACAACACTGTTCCAGAACCGTTCAACCCAAATATTCAGATGTGTGCAGCACATTTTGTGGAGGACTGTTTCCTGAACATGCGGAGTAGCCTACAATGCGTTTGTACTCAGGCTGTTTCTATAAAGTGGGGCAGTTCCAACTTTGCAAGGACAGTCTGGCGCTTCTGACTCACAGACTGTAAGTAC